AGCTTTGTGTCAGGGAGATGATGATATGTGTGGATGTCTGGTACAGGGAGTCATCTAGGGAGAAATAAAGGAATTGGCACAGCTACGCGTTTTAGTCCAAACAATTGGAAAGGCCTGTGGAAGGAATTGGATGATTGTGTTTGCCTCGTGCAGGGATAAGCAAGGGATTCTGTGGTAGTAGCTAAGGCATCATTGCAATAGTTGGCAAAGGTTTTCAAACTCAGTGGGGAGGCGGAAGTCAGTTCAGGTGGCTGAGAAGGCAGGTGAGCAGGGATGGATGTGTCCAGGGGGGCAGAGAGCAGACTCAGTAGGAATGAAAGGATAGGACGAGGTGTGTTAGTCCGCTGGGCTGGTGTGACTAAGTGCCCTAGACTGGGGGGCTGAAACAACACATGTTCATTTCTCACAGTCCTGGCTGGAAGTCCAGGATGAAGGTATTGGCTGTTCCAGGTCCTGATGAGAGTTCTCTTCCTGGCTTGCAGATGGCCCTCTTCGTGCTGCGCTGCGTCCTCACATGGCATCTCCTTGCAGAAGGCCACTGATCCCACCATGAGGGCCCCACTCTCATGACCTAATCACCTCCCAAGAGCCCCCCATTTCCAAATAGCATGACATGGAGGGTTAGGGCTTCAATGTGAATTTTGTGGGGGAGTTACCTTTCAGCCCATAGCAGAAGGTGTGGTCAGTGAGGGAATTTTTGTCCTGGAAGGAGAGAGCAATTTTTCTTCATGGTTTATAACATTGTGACTTCCAATCTATACAGAGGAGTATCTGGGTGCAGATTAATTATATTTATTTTAATTTAACAGGCAAGCTTGAAGGAATAATAAACAGTAGGTTTAATGTAATTTTGTAAATCTGTTTTATTAGCTGTATAACCGGGAAGATGGTGTAATTTATGAAGTAAAGTACAGTATTTTGAGATAGCTGTAAATCATGGTATAAATGCATCATAATTTTTTTAATACAGAACTATTTAACATACAAGCTGAATCAAAACTAGTAAAAATGTTTGGTCTTGGATATTCAAAATACAAGTTTATTACATTGGCAAAATTTTTAATTAGCAAATATGATGCTTCTTTAAATATTTAAAATTTAAGGTAATTTTTAAATCAACTGTTTTTAAAAATTAACTGTGGGTAGTTTTTATAAGGCAGTTTTTCTCTTCAGGAATTTCTCAATCCTGGTTTGAATGATGTGACTGTTTGAGCCCCACCTGGTCATTGCGTGTACCTCTGCCCACCTTTCAGATCTTAGAGATCTGTTTTTAGAGATAAAACACTGATGAACACTTGAAAGCAGTTTTAATTTCATTCTCAGCCCCCAAACACATGTTTTAATGGAGCTAATGTAAGTGTTACATGTACATTTTCTAACAAATTGCTTTCTCTTTAACTATTCTGAATGGAATATAATGGGATTACTCTTCTGGAGCTATAACTGTGACATATATTTGCATAAGTAGAGGAAGTTGTCATATAGAGCTAGAGCGCCTTTTTTTAAAAAAGTACTCACTTTCTTGGGGCGCCTGGGTGGCTCAATTGGTTAAGTGTCTGCCTTCTGCTCAGGTCATGATCCTGGGGTCCTGGGATCCAGCCCTGTTTCCGTCTCTCTGCTCAGCGGGGAGTCTGCTTCTCTGTCTCGTCCCCCCCCACCCCCGCTTGTGCTCTCTCTCTCTTAAATAAATAAATAAATAAATAAATAAATAAAATCTTTTTATTTTATTATGTTATGTTAATCACCGCATTACATCATTAGTTTTTGATGGAGTGTTCCATGATTCATTGTCTGTATATAACACCCAGTGCTCTATGCAGAATGTGCCCTCTTTAATACCCATCACCAGGCTAACCCATGCCCCCACCCCCCTCCCCTCTAGAACCCTCAGTTTGTTTCTCAGAGTCCATCGTCTCATGGTTTATCCCCCCCTCCGATTTCCCCCCCTTCATTCTTCCCCTCCTGCTATGTACTTCTTTTTTTTTTTTTAACATATAATGTATTATTTGTTTCAGAGGTACAGATCTGTGATTCAACAGTCTTGCACAGTTCACAGCGCTCACCATAGCACATACCCTCCCCAATGTAAATAAATAAAATCTTTAAAAAAATACTTTTAAGGTTGAGTTTGAGGGCAAAAACTTTTATTATAATTAATGTAATATGTTGGACTGTTTGTTTTGTTAATAAGTGGCTCAAACCTGCTTAGCTCACAACTTTAGCCTACACCCTACCCTCACAATTACACACCTCCCTTCCTCTTAGGTTCACACAGCAGGGGTTGAAGTGCCAGACACTGTAGACTGATAAGATAAGAAGCACATGAGCCATTGCCATAAACCAGGGGTCCCTACTGGGCCGGCTGACGCACACAGTCCTCCTCTGATGTCAAACAGCTGATAAGTAGCTCCTTGGCTCCTTTCCCACATTTTGTGCCAGAGCGGGAAAAGACTCTTTGTCTAAAAGAGCAGCTCTATTGAAGTATTTCTCTTTTAAATATATTACTGCTTTTCTTGACTGTGGGCCAGATTCCTGTCTGTTTAAACAGTTTAATGTTATTTCTGAATTGTTTGGCAGAAATGAATATTTGTTAGTGAAAATATGTTTAATTCATTATGCATGATATTCTATGATATGTTTGTTACCCCTTACAAGGCTTCACACTTGGTATTTTTTGTGAAAAAATAAGTGTGGCAAATTTGATGAAAGGGGTAGTTCAGTGGTCTTTTATAAAAAAAGCTTTTATGTACATTGTCATTAATATCACCCTATCTTTATGAACCTGTAGGGAAGGGGGAAGACTGACCATGGATGGGGATCAGTTCAGCAACACTTAACATCTGGGAGGCCATTTGTCTCAACATATTGGCATTTATCCTGAAATATGGAGAAATAGTAGATTCATGAGATTTAACCATTCAAGACTGGTGATGCTCTACTGGTGCATATGCCAAACATTCTTTCTACTGATTAAAAAAAAAAAAAAATCCAGACAACATGTTGTAGAGCCAAATTGTCATTGTGGTGATAAAGTCTGAGCAGTATGTCGTATGGTGAAATGTCTGCTTAGCTATGTAAATGGCTCGTTATGAAATCCTAAGGAGGAAAGATAACATTCAAACCTGTAATTTTATGCCTGCCTTGTTAAAAAAGGGAGCCCAAGGTGCCCATATCAAAATGAAAGATCTGTAAACCTAATTAGCCTAGCTCATTTTATATAAAAAATTATTAGTTAACTAATTCTGAGATCAGCTCAGATTAGTGAAATTCAACTTTTGCATTATCACCTAAACTTGCATTTCTAAATACACACCAACTGAATAAAGTTGGCAATGAGAATTATAGATCACAATAATCAGCGTGTACAACCAATTAGAACCAAGACTGTCTGTTTAACATGTATATTTTTGTCACCAAGGAAGCTGAAAAAGTGTCTTGGGAATTTAGAAATGCCACAGAATTTCTACAGCTCCGTTCTTAAGCTGTGATATTCTGTGGAGGCCACTGTTACAGCAACACAGTATTTTGTCTTTAACTACTGTACAAACTAATGTTTTATATTTATGTGTTGGTGATAGCTAACATTTACTGGATGCTGTTGTAAGCGGTTCTCATCTGCTATCCTTATTTAATCCTTAGACCGGGTACAGGTACAGATACAATGGTCATCTCCCTTTACAGAGAGAAGTTGAAGCACAGAAGGGTTAAATAACGCTCAGTAGCTCGGGAAGTGGCAGAGCCCAGAGACAAACCCTGGCAGGTCTGTCTTTAACAGGTGGCATCTTATCCTGTGAATTAAAACAGGAATTAGAGTTTTTGAACTAAGAGGTGACATTCATGAAACTTTCAAGAAATCCGATGTGCTGTGTTTGTATTTAAATCTCTCTGATAAAAAGATCAAGCAGCCGGGTCTAGGGTGCTTTACTGCTTCTGTGCAGTGGGCTTGCATGAATAGTGTGCAGAGCTCCGATGCTGTATTCCTTTTATTTATTTATTTTTTTTTTCCGGGATGACAGCACCATTTATTCGGCACCGGCAAGAGGCTCTGTTGTATGTTCACGCCGGGCGGCCCGCACGCATGGCCCCCAGGACCACGATGCACGTCGTGCTAGTGATGCTGATGTCTGAACTGCGGTCCACAGTAGCCACCTGTCCCCGTCTTTGTTTCCTTGTCCAGGTTTATGTACACTTTCGGGTGGCCGAGAGCCCCACGGCCGCCATCGCACGCAATCACACGATCTCCAGCCTCACTCCCGGGCTGCTCAGCTATCAAATCGATGGCAAAG